TGTATGCGTGCTCCTATCTTTGCACACTGAGAACTCCTTTGCAGTTGAAAGTCGGTGGATATATTTCTCAAGTAAATGGTTTTCTTCTGAGTTTTATGATGTCAATTCTTGAAGAAGCTGAGCACTTGAATATGTTATGTTTGTCTCGAGACTTCTTATGGTGTATTGAGAAGGAGGAGTTACTTTATGCACTTGTTGCTATATATTAGCATAAATAACAAAGACTTATATTGTTTTTGGATGTCTTCATTTTGATTTAATGTGTACTCTGGTGTATGTTTAATACACACCACACTAAATCGATGTTTTATGTACAGCAAAGAAATCATAAGCAACCATTCTTGTTGAACCTTGTCATGTTGAGTGTTGAATAGTATGAAGTGGATCTTGGTTGTGTATCGTTACTTTTTTCTAATGTGGAATTGGATTTTTGAAATCTGACATCTAGCAATGCTTAATACCAATGTGGATATGACTGACTTGTTTATTATGTGCTCATGTATGGTTTTATCTGTTAAGCTTCTGAGTTTATTGGGACAGTTGTTTAGACATGCACTGGTTTTCTTTTATCATCACCCTGATTCCAGGCATTGTCAGAGGTCTACTGGCAATCCTATGGTAGACCGTTGAATGTCCTGGGAAAGAAATTTATGTGTCCTTCGTTGTCCAGTAATATACGGTTTTATTACTCGGAGTACATTTGGACTCTACATGCATCTTTGGTTTGAAATTCTGGTGAACAACTCATATGTATGAACTCTTTTGTGGTTTGATGTAGTTATAATCCATGTCACTACTTTTTGGCTATTGTAGTACTTATTGGATCATGGTATTGTCTGAAGATTTTTGTAGGTGGCTGTACTTATTGGATCATATAGTATACTGTTGAATGCCCTATGGTATTGATTCATTTATAATAGTATCTGACTATCTGGTGTTTGAAATTTGATATCGCTATATTTGATGTCATAGTGGAGAGTTCAGACATAGGTGTCTACTATCAATTGATGGTAGATCGTTGAACTTCAAAAAAAAAAAAAAAAAGGAAGTTATTTGATGTGCCCATATTGCACAGTTATCAGCAATTTCATCACCATGGTACATTTGGTCTCTGATGTGCTATGATTTGAAATCTGGTGAACAGCTTTTGCTCTTCTGTTCTTCACTGTTCTGTAAATTGATTTTTTTAATTTTTTTTAATGTGTGTTGTCTTACCGCTATTAACTATATTTTAGTGTTCATTTTTGTCTTATATTAGCAACCTGTAGAAATTAACCTACTTTTTATTCCCTTGCAGGTGGCATTAGACATTGAGTACCACCACAATATGTTGACATCCCATCAAAAAGTGAACCCAAAGGAAGTCATTGTTGGATGGTAAGTCTTCGTAGCTTATATTATCTTTGAACCTTTCAGTAGCTTCATTTATCATGTCATACTTCTAGAGCAACAGTTACCTATGAGAATTGCCATTTGCTGTCAAATGCTTAATTGGCATTCTATTTTTTGCTTGAGATAGCATCCTGATTAAAAATGCTGCTACTGCCTCAAATTTACCTTGACTCAATCTAATTAAGGAATTGTTTGAACCGTTAATGGCTAGATATACTAACTACTTGTAAGTATATAGTGTCAGGCACTATGTAGTGTCTAACAAGATTTCCTGTTTGCAGTTTTCATCTATTGCAATTAGACTGTCTGTACCTTTTAGTTTAGACAAATTGGTCCATTTTAGTTTTGCTTGAAAACATTGGTTTACTTTCTTCCATGTTTTTAATACTTTGCATTGGTGCTTTATTCACTCTAATCATGTTTTGGGAATCTTTGATTGTATGTAAGTTTGAGTTCTAAAAACCTTTATATGTTTTGGCAAAAAAATTAGTGATATTTACTGTCTAGGTTGTGATGATTACATCTACGGCTGTAGCTAATGCAAGCTTTACTACCTTGGCGTCATTGTTGTTTAATCTCCCCATTTTTTGTGCCACAGGTATTCAACCGGGTTTGGTGTTACTGGAGGTTCTGCTTTGATTCATGAATTTTACTCTAGAGAGGTTGCAAATCCAGTCCATTTAACTGTGGATACTACATTCAGAAATGGAGAGGCAACAATAAAAGCCTTTGTTTCTGTTAGTTTGTCTCTTGGAGACCAGCCGCTTGCTGCTCAATTTCAGGAAATTCCTGCAGAGCTTCGGATGTCAGAAGCTGAGAGGGTTGGATGTAGGCACAAGCACTTGATATATTTTTTTGTCAAAATAATGAAACCACCTAATTAACAATGCTAATTTGTATTTACTTGTTATATATTCTGGTTTATTGGAAATTGATTGGCTTTATTGCTGTTGGCAGATGAACTTTTGAAATCAACTGTGGCGGACAAAATTCCAAGTGATTTGGAAGGCATGGAAAGTACTCTGGAGAGGTTGCTGGCTTTAATTGATGAAACTTATAAATATGTGGATGATGTTGTGGTGAGAACTCAATTGATGCAGCACTCTTCTTTCGACTATTATTCGGCCCTTTTTTTCTTTTTTTTTTCTTTTCTTTAATGAGCTATGTGTTTATTATGTATCTCCAGGAGAGTCGTGTTGCTCCTGACAACAAAATTGGGCGGTTCCTTGCAGAGGCAGTATCTTCCCTCCCGAAGTTAACACCTTCCGCTTTTGATAAGCTTGTGAACGACAGCCTACAGGTATATCAACTCTTTCTCAATTCAACACTTCAAAAAATCGTTTCTTCTTTTTATCTAGTTGATTTCAAAAGCTGATAGGCATAGAACGAGCTTGACTGGAGAGATATGAGGGATTGGCCTCTTTTACATCTTTTTTGTCGAATCCCTTTTTTTTTTTTTTTTTTTTTTTTTTTTATTTTTCAATCTTATGTAGTGATTATCTTATCTGACTACATGTCATTTTTGTGTGAACAGGACCAACTTTTGTTAGTATATTTATCTAGCATCACTAGGACACAGCTGAGTTTAGCAGAGAAGTTGAACACCGCTGCTCAGATTTTGTGAGTCTAATTCAAGCAGTTTTACGCATCCAGCCTTGATTCTGCGCCCTGGATTTTAGAGAAGAGTGTGTATTGATATATAATCTTCTGGTACTCCTGAGAATAGCCTTTGATAATTTTGTTGTTGGTGATATATCTGTAGCTCGAAAATTTTGTCCACTGGATAATGTATTCTCAAGCGTATTCAATGCTTTTGATTCTTTCAGTGTTGTTATTTGACTGCAGTTTAGGTTTATATTATCCTTCGTACTTGTTTTTAGCTATTTGAGTATGACCTCAATTGGCTTCGCTTAGCTACTACCTCAAAAAATACTGGTAATTGATACTGTCAGCCAACTTGAAGATGTATAGTAATAGAAGCCTCAGTAGCTATGCACAATGGCAATATTGTGCACATTACTGCTAAAAAAGGGTGATCTGTGGCTTCTTAATCAGAACGACAAATACTGTTTTAACATGACAATTATTTATTTTCATAATTGGTTGGATTATGAAAACTTCTAAGGTCTCTGTTTCAGTTCTTCCTCAACTTGTATAGTAATATAACTTTGTGGAACTGTATAATTGTGGCAACATTGTTTTCAGTGATACTTTGAATGACTGTAAAGGTATGTCATGGAGGCCCGGAGGCTGTGAGTTTATACAAGTATATTAGATGGTTGCGAGTATTGCTATCGAGGTTGAGGATTGCAATGTGGTATTCCTCCTAAGGGCTCTTGATCCTTGCGCGCGAATTACATGCAAGAAAAACTTTTGTATACACCCGATTTACACTAATATTAGTGTACATCGAGCAGTATAAGGGTAACTATTAGCTAATTTTAGGGTAATTTTTTGCCCTTTTTTTTGGGTAACTTTAAACATAATACAATTTTTATATATATAGACAACAGAAAAGTTTTATAAAGGTAATTTAATTACATTCAATCACTAATAATTGATTTTTAGTCATGTAAAATGTGATTCTTTACTAATAAAGCGTAGATAATTTTTATTTGTACTGGGTTACTTTTATGCATATTGGGGTAACTTTTATTCATTTTAGGGGTAACTTTTGCTCATTTTAGGGTACCTTTATAACGGATGTACAATATTGTACATCCGATTTTTTTAAAAGTTTGTCTACATGCAAAACTATAAACAAACTGGTTACCTCATTTTTATACGGCGTACTGAACTTTAAATGATATGTAATTCATTAACACCTAGTTTGGATAGAAGGAAATGGAAGGAATAAAAAGGAAGAGAAAGGGAGGGGGACTAACTCTCTTGTTTGGATAAATGATTAGGGGAAGGAAGGGAAAGGAGAGGGATCTATTTTCCCTCTCTCTTTAATAAGCATAATCCCTCCAAATTTGAAGAGATTTGGAGGGAAAATGGAGCTCACCTCCCCCTCCCTTTCTTCTCTCTTCCCTTCCTTTCCTTCCATGTATCCTATCCAAACAAAGTAAAGGTAAATATTTTCAATCCGAAGATTATGGCACACAACAAATTGAGGTGACTAAAAACTTTTGGGCAGAAAATTGTACTCCCTCCATTTTTAAATACTTGCTCCACTTTTTTTTTTTTTCAGCCGTTTTTAAATATTTGTTCCATTTTCTTATTTGAAAAGTTTTTACAATATTTAATTCATTTCTCTCACCTAGTGGATCCAACATAAATCATATTGTATTAATTTCATATTCTCTCTCTTCCAATTCTCTCAACCACTTTTGCTTTTTACAATTTTATATTTTCCTCCTACCCCACTACCTCCATAGTTTATTCCTTTCTCCAAATTCTCCTAAAACTCCGCGCATGGAGAAATGGAACAAGTATTTAAAAACGAAGGGAGTAATATTTTGATAAGAGAATGGGCCAAAAGCAGCCACATGTCAAGCACACGACCATACTCAAGGAAGATGATTTATCATAAATCTCTTGGGAAATTTCACAAATAAAATTCAGGAAAAAAAATATATATTAAAGATAAGATTTATAAGACCCTTGTAGAAAACCCGTGGTGGAAACACTCCTATAACAAATTTCAAATTAAAGAAAAAATCAAAGGCCTGAAAATTTCACACCCTCCAAGTTGCATATATTATCCTAAGCCTTTTCCATAATAAAACTGTTGGTCTAAGAGCATTTCTTCCCTTAAACCTCCATCACTTAACCCATTTACAACCCAAGAAGAAGATAATGGCATCATTGCCCTCCATATTCGGAGCAGCCGCAAGCGCGAGAGTAGTCAGAGTGTCAGCAGCCAAAGGCACGGTAGAAACCAAGGAAGAAAAGAGCTTTGTGGACTGGCTTCTAGGCAAAGTAACAAAGGAAGATCAATTCTATGAGACTGACCCAATTCTTCAGAAGGTTGAGGAGAAATCCGGTGGCACCACTAATGGAAGGAAGGGCACGGTTTCAATGAAGGGCACGGTATCAGTGCAGAGCAAGAAGAAGACTAATGGTAATGGAGGTGTCTTTGGTGGTCTATTTGCCAAGAAGGACTAGTTGATCATACATCACACTCTTCACTTTTCAGTTTCCTGCAGTGTTTTATTTAGTATATTATTGGATGATTTGAGTTCTGTTAATGTTTTAATCCCATTGTTATCATTCAATCTTCATTTACTACCCTGGGATATGCTTTAGAATATACTCGAAACGTATATATATCTGCCCTCTATTGTTTCTTTTATCACACTATTCATTTGCATTTGTCATGTTCATTCTTGTGAAGATGGTCTAAATTCCAACTACTAAGTTTCCAAGGTGAATACGTGATCCAGCCCTGAAGGGTCACTTTCCGAGGCGTTGGATACCTTGTCCAATCTCGGTGGTATGCTTTGGTTTCCTATCATCTATGAACAATGGTGATATAAATCACCCATCCCAGGGAACTAGGGAAGTGGGAAGGAGTCCCTCTGTAAGATGGAGTTGTTTTAATTTGTGCAAATATTTTACATAGAATGGCATTATGGATAATTTCAAACTACATACAAAGATCAATAACCATTAATCTTTTTTAATGAAGAATTTGTAACTGTTAATAAAGGATGATTTCGTGAATCAGACTGCCTTTCTAAGGGTCTGAGAGACACATCACAGTTTTACAGCAAGACACGCAATTGATTGGCCATGACTTTGTATGAAATACCTAACTGATTGTCCATGATTAACACAGAATAAGATTGCTTAGTGTGATTAGTATCAGCTATTCTTGCTCCAAATCAATCAGCTATTCTTGCTCCAAATCAATCAATTTTGCGAATAAAGCGTCAAAAAAAAAAATATGGTTCACAGAGAGATCTGAAACCTGGTGTGCATAATTTGGGAGAGAGCTCAGAGAAGTGATTAATAAAATTTCAAAAGTCCCAAACATAACAATAATTCAGGCATAAATTGTGGTTACAGGAGAATTTCAGATGCAACAAAATAAGAGGGTGTCGGGGATGAGGAAAGGCAGAACGATGGCTCTGTGAAAGTCAGGGGGAAAAAAGGGGGGAGGGAGGTCTGAACAGCATACTGATGAAACCATTTCCAGAATTTTTGGATATCTGTAGAATTTTGGCACCATTTCTTCTCAACTGCAACCAGCAATCAGCATCATGTTTTTTAACTAGATACTAGAGCTCCGATCAATATTTTTTGACGGGGGAGATGGAGAACATGACTTAATATAATCGATGCAATCATCAATAGCTTCTCTTGAATGAGCTTCTATCACATCTATTGATTTTGTGCACCCTAGAGTTGAGTTCTTAGACGAACAGGTTTTTTTATCGGTTACAATTCTTAAGGTATTTCTGATGCCTATACCAAAACGCTTCAAGAATTGCAAAGGTGAAAATGCATTCTTGATATTTTTCGAAAAGGGTGCTCCATGACCAGAAATATTACTTGAGTTCTGCCTCTTAATTATAAGTTCATTGCCTACTAGTCTGGTGAAAGTTTGTGTTTGAGTATCACCTCTTGACATCTGAACAGAGCAGCAGTTCTTAGAACAGAGAGAGAGGATGAAGTTTTAGGCAGGGAGAATTTACTGAAGAATTGGCATAGGTGGATGGGTAAAGTCAATAAAGCTCTCTGAAATTTTTACAGAAACATTAATAATTCAAAGTATAAAAGTTAATTGATGCATTATTGATATTAGCTGGCAGCTAAACAAAGGAGCAAATAATCACCAAAATGTAAGCATTAATGGAAAAAATATCTTCAAACAGATATGTTTCCTAAAATGAATAACTAAAGTTTGCAACAAATCACCTTTGTCTACTAGTTTAAGTAAAGGAGAAGGGAGCAATATGACAAGTCCAAGCCACTCAAGTTCCTTTGACAGTCCTCTAAATCTCACTATAGTCACCCATCCACAAACAAGTCACTCGTAAAAGTTACCTACGTTCTCACCGAACACATATATCATGCAAGACTTATTAAAACAAGATGCAATAACGCAGATTTACTTGAGAATATATTTTCTCATTGTAAAAAGAAAAAACCGTGTATAGAAGAACCTTCCACTCAACGTTACGGGAACACAAGGTTAAAAAAAAAAGTCCTGTGTTGTGTTTAGGCTGTCTAGAAATCCTTTAATTTGTAAAGTCATATAAAAGAAACAAAAGCAGGCCACTCTTTAAATCACGGTGATATAATGATAAATTCCCCTTTATATTATGCTATGAGGAAAATGAATGAACAAAACCTCAAAAATAATTTTCACACGACCAAGAGGCAGATTGCTGGCATAATTCAGCAGGCAAACATAAAGTATATAGACTTGAGCTATAAATGAACTCAGAGCAGAAGCTTTTTTGCACAATCATGAAATCTTATACTTTTCACCATTCACACTTGAACAAAATATGCTAAAAGAATTCCTGTAAGAAAACACATGTACCCATAAACTATATACTCATGTAAAACTATACAATAACTTGCATTTGTGTTCATTATGCAGCAATATAGTACATCAATGGACAGTGAAGAAAGGAGAACAAAGCACTAACCAGCACGGCACAAATAGAGCTGTACCACTGCAGAGAAAATCTCTCATAATAGAAGCTAGAAGTATGACGATCATGATAGTCTTCAGCATCCCGCCTTCCAGACTATCACCTACTTTGACAGAGCTCAGAACCATGAATCTTTTCATCAGACATTTCATTCACCAACTAGAAAAAAAAATCATAACATATGAGCATCATCCATTCTTTCCCTCCTTCCTTAATCCCCTTGAAACAACAGACCTCATGTATCACATAATAGCCGAAGCATCCACCTTCGTTCCAAAAATCCCAAAGATCTCAAAGCTGACTTCATCAATTGACCATGAATTCAACATCATAGATTTGAACAAAACAATCGCCACACATTCAATCTTGTTGTTTACCATTCATAACAAGTAGAATTTCACCACCAGCAAGAATAACACTATCCAAGAACACCCTAACTTCATGGACATCCTCGAAAGCGATAGGAGCCTTAAGATCACTATCCAAATTATACCAAACCCCATTAATCTTTCTCAAACTGACCCAATGCCTGTTCTTCCAAAGCCCACCATACCTTTTCACAGGAATATTCAACACAATCCCCATTAACCCATCATCTTCAGACCCATCAAGAAAAGAAATTGAACTAGCCCCATTTCTCCGATCATGCCACACTATATTCTTACCTTTCCTTTCAATGGAAGCAATCAAAACATTAACATCATAGTTCCCAGTAAACAGATTATGGTGAGGCTTAAAGACAACAGAAATAGGGTTCCAATTTACTGGGGTGGGATCATCCAAATTGAGTTCTTCAGCAATTCCATCCAAATCTGTTCGGCTAAATGCAACTTTCTCCTAAAATTAGTTAAATCCTAAATTAATTTGCCAAAAAAAATTTTTGACGGGAAATTAATTTACTAATATTGAAACATCAAAGATTACATTTTTTTCAAGCAAAATTAATTTCTTTGTTTGGAATAGAACTACTGTGTCAAATTAAAGAAGGGGAAAAGTGGGGTTTACCTGAAAGAGATTGTTGAGGGCATGAAGGAGGCAAAACTGCAATCTTTGACGTTCATGGTAAATTCCCGACTTGATTTGCTCTTCCATAACGAACCCAGAAGTTTAATTCCCATAGAAATGATCAGATTTGAAGGCTTACTCTATATAATAAAAAATAGTGTACGGCCCGGGCGATGCCCCGGGTTATTATATCTATATATTATTATACTCCCTTCATTTCTAAATACTTGTTTCATGCTTGAAGTTTTAGGAGAAATTGGAGAAAGTAATAAAATATAGAAGTAATAGGTAGGTGAAAAAATAAAATATTATAAAAAAACAAAAGTAGTTAAGAGAAATAGAGGAGAGGGAATATGGATAGGTGGTTTTGGGGCGGATTAGGGTTGCGAGAAAGAGAGGGGGAGGGTTCAGGTGGGTCAGGTAAGGGAGGGGGAGGGGATGCGTCGGCGTCTGGTCGGCGACTGTGTTGGGTGAAGGTGGCAGTGGTGGTCGATGGTGGGGCTAGAGTGGCTGGGTAGATTTTCTTGTAATTAAATTTGTTGTTTATATTGTAATTTGCTACATACTTCCTCTATCTCCTATTATAATGCCTCTTTTCCTTTTTGGTCAAACCAAAATACGATGCTCTTTTTATTTAGAGGTTGTATTTTTTGACATTATTACCCTTTTTTGATAAATTGTCATTTTTTTTTGTACTTTTAACATCAATTTCCAATACATTCTCTCTCTATCTCTTCGATTATTCCTAACTACTCCCTCCGTCCCCGAAAGAATGACCCTTATGGCCTTAATCTAGTCCTAAAATGATCATCCCATTTGCATTAAAATATTATCCAATTTGCAATACTTTTTGTGCAAAGTTAACTTCCCCATGTAAATTTTGTTTTTCCATGTACTTTTATTACTTTCTCTCTTTACTTTTTTGCAAACCCCATGTAAATTTCACTTTCCAATGTATTTTTATTACTAACTTTTTCACTTTCTTAAGAGCATCTTTAAGGGTGAACATTTTAATAGTTCACAATGAGTGAACAAATAAGGTGGTGGCTTAATGGCAAACTCTTTAATTGTTCATGTTGAGTGGTCATGGGTTCGATTGCAGGAGCAAGCACTTGCATGAATTAATTCGTTGTGGGCCCCACCAATATTTTGGACTGATATTCATGCAAAACGACGTCGTTTTGCTGTTTCATGTTGCAAAATAACGTCGTTTTGCTGTTAAAGGTCAGAAAAAAAAAATTAGAAATCAGCGGCTGGGAGCGCGCCACTTGGCCCAGCCGCTGCTTGACACGTGTGTACTGTTTTAAATATATCCGTTGTAATTTTACAACGGATATATTTTACAAAATACAAATCAAAAAAAAAAAAAAAAATTACCAACGACTCTATTTTTTTCCCCTCTATAAATAGACACCCATATTGATATACTTTTTTCAACTTTGAAAATTCATTTTTTTCTACTATATTTTTCTCTTCAAAAATCCCCTCTATAATTACCAATATTATTATTATTTATACCAATATTAATATTATTATTGTTATTATTATTTTTAATTATTATCATTAATATTATTATTATCGTTACTATTATTTTTTATTATTATCGTTATTATTATTATTATTATTATTTTTATTATTATCGTTATTATTATTATTATTATTATCGTTATTATTATTATTATTATTATTATTATTATTGTTATTATTATTATTATTATTATTATCGTTATTATTATTTTTATTATTATTGTTATTATTATTATTATTATTATTATTATTAAATTTTTATTTTTTCCAAATATAAATTATAATTATGGATGCTAATACCAACCCCAAAACAAATAGAAAGAAGAAAAAAAATTTGGGTCAAAATATGATCCCGAATCAAGCCAATTTTCCTCCAATTCACCCAAATTTTTCACAAACACCCACAAATATTCCCCATAATTTTTCTGGAGTTTATCCTCAAATACCCCAGTCAAGTTTCCCAAATAATCCACCAAATTTCCCTCCAAATTTTAATTTTTCTCAAAGCAGTTCAAATTTCCCACATCCATCCATGATACCAATGGGTTACGGTGAATATGGTGCTGCATCTGGTTATTTTCCGTCACAACAACCGAATCCCAATATTTGGGAATCGAACAATGTCTTATCTGAAGAAGATGAGGCAAATGAAGAATGCGAGGATGATGGTGAGGGAAATGAAACTCCTTCTCCCCATCAAAACTTCACTCAAATGTTACAGCAACCACTCCAATCAACTCCGGAATTTCGTGTTAGTGGTTCAAACAATAGAGGTTGGTCGCGATCAGAAACTGCGGCTCTTATATCCGGCTACATGAACACCAGCACCGACATAATTACCGGCACAAATCAAAAGAAGGGTGTATTTTGGAAGAGAGTCTTGGACGCATACGATGCTGCCAGGGAATCGAATGCAGATGAAATATCCCTACGAACTATTAGTAGTTTGAAGGGAAGGTGGATGCGAATCTCTGAAGCCGTGTTAAGGTGGTGCGGAAGCTATGATAAGGCCCGGAAGCGAAAGGGAAGTGGCTATAACGAAGATGATGTTATCCAAGAGGCCCACAAAATCCATGAGAACTCATTCGGACGATTCACCTTCTACGAGGAATGGATCCAATTAAGGAAGTGGGACAAATTCCGGTCTTTCTTGGACCAACAAACATTCAAGCCTTCGGTGGGACGTCCACATTCAACTCCACTGACGGATGAGTCTGTAGGGAGCGGAAGTAGTGGGAAGAGGACACGGGATGAGGGTGACAATTCCTCACCTACCACACCAACCAGCGTGGGTGTCGGTGATGAGAGAGTAGCTCGTGCTGAAGGTATTAAAAAGGCTAAGTCGAGATTGAAGGGTAAAGCTCCATCAAGTCAAGCATTTAAGGAATTAGAAACATTCAACAGCCGATTGCAGCTACTTGGGGATTCGATGAATGTGTCAAACGAAGAAGAAATGAAGAGACTTGAAATACAGGAGCGCAAGGAGGCAAGGAAACAACGGAAAATTGAGCTAGAACAATATAGGATCAACTGGGAGCAACTATCTCGTCTAGAACAGAAAGTAAACCGAGAACAGTGGGAAGACGAAATGATAGTAATACTTCGGAACAATATTCAACGTTTCAATAATGATGCTTAGTGTCCTTTATTTTTATTGTAGTTAAGTGTGTTCAATTCCTTTGTTGTTCTTCATTTTCAGTAGTGATAAGTTTTCAATTCCAGTTCAACCTCTTGTACTCATTTCCTTATGTTTGTACTTTATCAATTAATCAGTAAAATGGATCTTTTCCACTTTCCCATTTTCATAGCCCATGTGATCTTATTCTGTTTATTCAATTATATCAATTTGTCTCTTTATATATAATTGTGTCAGTATCTTAATTTCCCCTTTGTTAGCCCATGTGAAACCCTTCTTCTCCATTCAATTTCTGTGTGGTTCTAATCCAGTGTTGGTCATAGCTCATGTGAAACCCTTCTTCTCCATTCAATTTCTGTGTGGTTGTAATTCATTGTTTGTCATAGCCCATGTGATCTTTATCTCTTTATATTCAGTTATTTCTGAAGAAGAATTACAAATTAGTTCACTATAAATAAACACCATTCTTTTTTTTTTTACACACAAACACATAAATCGTTTGCAGTTACTATTAGCAAACCTCACTCTATCTTACATTTCTTACGTACAAAATGAATTCAAACAGTTTAAACGAAAGCTCAACCGATTCCTCTTCATCTTCATCTAACTCGGATGATGAGGGAAGGGAGCTTAGAGTTCAACAACGTAATGAAGTGTGTCTTATGATACAACACGTAATGCATGAGTACATTCCACCAATTATTCAAGCTGCCACTCAGCAACGCCGACGCAAATCTACTGAGCCCTGAAAGGATAGGGGACGCGAAGAAGGTCATGCACGGTTATACAATGACTATTTCGCGGAAGTCCCAGTTTATCCAAGTTCCTTGTTCCGGCGCCGGTTTCGAATGCGTAAACATGTGTTTGAGCGCCTTCTCAACGCAGTGACCCAACATGACCCCTGGTTTCAACAAAGGCGAGATGCGGCAGGTCGTCTTGGTTTGTCTCCACTTCAAAAGTGCACTGCGGCCGTTAGACAACTAGCTTACGGGTGTGCTTCAGACGCTTGTGATGAGTATGTCCGTATAAGTGAGGCAACTTCACGATTGGCACTCCAAAAGTTTACAGAAGGTGTCATCAACCTGTTCGGTGATCAGTACCTACGCCGTCCAATCATCGCAGATATGGAAAGATTGCTACGTATTGGGGAAGAACGTGGATTTCCTAGCATGATAGGCAGCATTGATTGTATGCACTGGGAGTGGAAGAACTGTCCACACGCATGGAAGGAGCAGTATCAAGGAAGAGAAGGAGTTGCAACTCTCGTACTGGAGGCAGTTGCGAACAGAGATCTATGGATATGGCATTCGTTCTTTGGGATGCCAGGTAGCTGCAACGATATTAATGTGCTTCATCGATCCCCTGTGTTCGAAGACGTCTTAGAGGGTCGAACACCTCCTGTGAACTTCGTAGTCAATGGTCATCATTATACGAATGGGTATTATCTTACTGATGGAATCTACCCTAGATGGGCTTCTTTTGTGAAATCCATTACGAGTCCACAAACTCGTCAGGATCGTTTATTCGCAAAACACCAGGAAGCTTCAAGGAAAGACGTTGAACGCGCATTTGGGGTCCTTCAAGCTCGTTTTGCCATTATTAAAAGCCGTCTTTGGCGTGGGATACCGACATACTCCACAATATCATGCTCGCCTGCATCATAATACATAATATGATCGTTGAAGATGAACGAGAGACGTATCAAAATAACGTTAATACCAATGAGTTTATGAATGCTGGAGGCAACGCTAATGAGGACACTACCGAGTACCGTACTGATCGTATTGTGGATATCGGCTTATACTTGTCTCGTAGAACAGAGATTGAGGATCAACAGACTCATTTGCAGCTAAAAAACGACTTGGTCGAACATATATGGAATAAATTTGGTAACAACGAAAACTTAGGCAACTAGGTTTACAACAAATGGTTATCCCTAAGGACATCTTACAAAACGACGTGTAGTTGTTTTTTTTTTAAATAAAATGTACTAGATTATAGTTGTAGAACTGTAATCACGATTTGTACCTCTTTTTTTTTTGTTAATTAAAATTAGCTGCGTTGTTGTTTAAAAAATATTAATCACAAGAATTAGTTTTTTAAAAAGCTAATAAAAAAATGCGATAATTTCTTAATTAGTAATCACGATTAAAATATTAAATACGTCAATTAATTACATTGACATCGGGTTAATAAATTATAATTATGAAACAAAAAAGATTATATTTACAAAAATAAAATAAGGTGGGGTAGGGAGTATTGATGATGAACCATTGTTTAGTGTTCATTGTTAAGAGTGAATATTGTAAATGGTTTGTTGGGTTGATGTGGATGAGAGAGAAATGGTGATAGTGACCCATGAACCATTTTTTTGTGTTCACCAATAATGATGCTCTAATACCCGTGAAATCAACCCAAAAGGGTCGTTCTTTCTATCTCTCTCTAACCCCACATGCACATATGTACTTCTAATCATTAGTTTCAAGGAATTTACAAATTTCTTAAGTCCCGCGTAAAAACCAAAAGAGACATTGTATTATGAGGTGGATGGAGTATTAATATGTTGTATTAAAAAGATTGTATAAAAAATCTCATAGCTTGGTGGTAAAATACTTATTTATAGCTTGGTGGTAAAATATTTAGTATAGATTACATGTCAAGGTCAAATAACTAAATAACTAAAGGAAAAATTCATTTTAATAATCCCAACTTTGCCTAATTTACTTTAAATAATCTCAACTTTTGATTGTTCTACAATAATCCCAAATTTAGGGTGCATTTTCTTTCTTCGGTCCCAAAAACCTCAAAATAGAGTGAATTTCATCAATGATACCATCAGGAATCCTCAAAATACTCATCATATACGTCGGGATTGCCTGTGCTACCGCTTTTATCAAGATTTCTTTACCCGACATTGACAGTAATTTCTTCTTCCAACCCTGTAACTTATCCCAGAGACGTTCCTTAAGGCCTGCAAAAATAGCTCTCTTCGATCTACCAACTATTGTCGGCAGATCAAGATATTTCTCATGCTTGTCCACTTCACGAACCTCTAAAGTGTCCACAATTTCCTTTCGACAATTGATGCAAACTTTTTTACTAAAAGCAACTTCAGTTTTGTTTAAATTAATTTTCTGGCTCGATGCTCTCTCACACTTGCTAATAATATTAGCTATCACAGAGCACTCTTGAGTATTAGCTCTAACAAAAAGAATACTATCGTCTGCAAAGAATAAATGTGACACTCGTGGAGCACCTCTACAAATTCGTGCCTCATGAATAAGCCCTACCCTAACCGCCTTATTGATCAAACACAAAAGGACATCAGCACATAAAAGAAATAAATATGAGGAAATCGAATCACCTTGCCGGAGACCTCTAGAAGGAGTAACCGACCCTGAAATCTGCCCATTTATTTTAAATGCAAACTGAACACTCTGCAAGCAACTCATAATTCGTCCAATGCATGCCAACGAAAAACCCATCTTACACATCACCTTCTCCAGAAACACCCACTCAACCCGATCATAGGTCTTACTCATATCAAGCTTCAAAGCAATACTAACATGCTTCCCCTCACCGCCCCACTTCATAGCATGAAAAATTTCGAAAGCAACAAGAGCATTATCTGATATTAACCGACCCGGAATAAGCGCACTCTGATTAAGGGAAATCACCTTATCCAAAATACCCTTCAATTTATTAGCCACCGTTTTCGAAACAATTTTATAAATCACGTTACAGCAACTAATAGGTCGGAATTCCGAAAGTTGAGTTGGGTCATCACACTTCGGAATAAGAACAATGCAAGTATTATTTACTTCCAATAAATTCACATCCCCCTTCCACCAACCCTTTAAAGTATAAGTTGTCTTAAGAGTATTTTTTGTGTACTATTATACATGTAGTGGTACTTTTTACCATCCTATATGTTTGTTTACAAATAGCAGCTATGCAGTAAGGGTTAACCAGTTTAATGAACTGTTACATTGAAAAAGAAGGAAAAAAAAGAAGGCAACTTTTTTTTGGTAGGACCCTACTATATAGTATTACAATATCACACGTTATAATATTAGTTAAAGTTTGTACAGTGTATATTTAATTATTTACTACTTTTTTTTTTAATTTTTTTTTATACAGTATATTTACTACTTCCTCCATTCTTTTTTACTTGACCCGCTTTGACTTTTACACTATTTATCACTTTTTCTATAACCGTCTTTTGTGAATAATGTAAGGAAAAACATATTCATATGAAATCTTTTTTAATTCATCTCATTAAGTACTATCATAACATATAGTAATGTTTACTAATGAAAAATTAAAGTTATGATTTGTTAAAGTTTTACATTGGCAATCATGATGAAAGAAACAAGTCAAGTAAAAAAGAATGGAGGAAGTACTATTACTTCAGCATGAGCTGAACAAACAAACAAGTGTTGCCTTCTTCATTTTAAAAATAGAAACATGTACACATATAATGAAATGACCAAAGCATATACTCCGTATATTTTATATCTTTACAGTCCTGTGTAGCTAAATTATCAAACAAATATTGAATATGCTTCATTGTTTGTTTCTATAATCTAGGTAAGAGAATCTTGCATCTTCTTTTTGCTCTCTGTATATTCTATATGAAACTAAACAGAAAGTCCTTTTGAAATTGTATGCTGTACTTTTGTTTACTTTAACTTATACACTGTGCTTTGTTTAACTTTGGCAGGACTCAATTTCAAACAAAACCATGAAGATTGAAAGTATGGCTTTGGACGAGCTAACCCTAGAAGCCAGGGCTTCCAAAGTTAAGGTTAATGTGGCTGACAAAGGCAGACCTACACTTTCTCCTGCAAAAGGAACCAGGTTTCAAGTTCTCATTCTCAAAGATGAAAACGTATGCACAATCTTATTTAAGCAACTGGACTTCTACTTTTGCCAATACTTCATATACAATATTTGAAGACTAAGTTTGGCCTTAAATTGCTGCACAGTCCTCTTTTGGTTGCCTTCCTTAAAAAATAAAATCCAACACTTCACATGTTTCCTAGGTTATGTTAATAATCTGCATTATTGAATATTTCAAATTACCATGCTGAGTTCAAAATTATTAAAGAATGACATATTTCCTTGAACACCTGGTCATGTTAAAAAAGTTATCTGATTTTATTGGAATTCTTCACATAACTTTGACTACACTTAAATCACAATCAATACCAAATTATGATACATTTGGTTGTGTGTGTTCAGGTAAATTGTTCTCGCCTTCCATCACATTCAAAACCTGCTAACTACCAAGCCGTTCCTTGCTAAAGTTGGCCCATCAATTGCACTATCCATGAGCAATGTCGTACAATCAGCTAGAACCTTATTTTGATAAATTAGACCCTATTGTTCCATTGTATGACTTCCCCAGTCAGTCAAAAGAAGGTATTCCTCATACTGAGAAAGGATCAAGCTCCAATGCTGAGACAACAGCAGAATAAAAAGATGCTGCTAAACAGATGCACTCCTACAACATCAACAAACGGTCCAAGAACAAAGAAGTTGTTTCTGAGTGTGACGACTGACAATCACCTGAATCTGATAGCCTGGAAACTGCACCTTGTAAGAAGCTGCGAACAACCCCTTTTCCTGAAGGCAATATTATTACAGCAAAGGGCCTTACAATTCCAGAAAACAAGGATCATGTTCCTCCTGTTACTGGGACTGCTACTCCTTCTGCTAAGTCATCAACTCAAACTCCACCTGCAAAAGCACCAATGAACAAAGATTCCACTGCATCAGCACCAACCAAGCCATAAACTTACAACCGCTTTTAATGTAAATAGTCGCTGCTCCCTTTTGCCAGCAGTGAATATTGAATTGAGCAGCACTACTATGACTGGTGATAGATGCCACTTTTTGCCAGCAACAAGACTATCTTGCCTACTAATGTAAAGTTTAACTACTACTACTACAACTATAGCCTTTTGAAGTGTTTTAGAGGAACATACATAGCAATTTCTGTTCCTAACAAACACCAGGCTGTCCAGCTTAAGCCTAAATCTTTTGAGAAATCTAAGAGAAACATAGGCCAGAAATTATATGGTATAAAAAAACCTGCCTATCAGACTACATGTGTATGCATGTAGAGCTTGTTGCTAAAACATATTATGTGATATCTATTTAACTGTCTTTTAAATAACTTGCCTTTCATGCATTTGCTAAATGCATGTATTCCAGTATTTTTCTTACTTTGTTGTTACACAATAATGTGGCTTATTTGCAAGTCACTTTTTCTAAATAAACCTAGCTAAAAAAGAAATAACTTATTGTACATTTAAACCAAACCCAGTGAAAATAACAGTATTACATTCCTTTGACTAGGTTCGAGGCAAGCTAACCTTTCGACCATTGAATCAGAAAATATATTTACATAGAATCTCCTATTACCAGCATAGTAGAGAACTATCATTTCACCATCCATATTAGTTCGTGTTTTACCAAAATTATTTGTGAAAAAACAAAACTTAGCTCTTCACAAACATTCTTCTACATTACTTAGCTACTGCATTTGGTATTACACATTATCATCACAGAACTTAATTACCATTAATGTCCTCGGTAATATTTTTCCGGATTGGGGTCCCACAACTAGTAGCTGAAAATTTTGAGTCACACATGACTAAATATCTCAAAGATCAGGTTTGAAGAGCATACTGGTTATCATATAGTTGTAATTTCATTGTTATTTGTGCCCAGGATTGTATATGTTCTGCATTTCTGCTATTTATGAAGGATGTTTTCTGCTGTAGATCAGCTCTTATTTCTCAGATAAACTATTTATGGTTGTTCGTGAGATAACTCATCAATCAAAAGGCCACAAAAATCAAAATGATGATGATTTGCTGCAAGTGGATCCTCAGCTAGCTGGGCAGGCTCAATAAGAGGATGTTGTTTTGGCATTCATCAAACACATTTGTGCTGTTTAGGTTTGAACCAAAATGTTCTGCAAACCCAAAGTACTTTTAAATGATCATGTGTCCTGACTCCTTTAGCTAATGTATGATTTGCCCTTAAGTAGTTAAGTGAATACCTCATTGCAATTTTATTGTCAGCTATTGGTAGATCTGCATTATATTAGCAAACTTGTTATTGTTTGTATAATAGAACCAGATTCTTATAATGACATTTCTCGACCTTGTTTTGAGACTTAGTTCTAGAATGATACTGTAATCATTTAATTATTATCTTGATCAGGTACACAAATGTTTGTTGACTTTTGCTTTTAATTTGTTTATTCCAAAAGTGGCTGGAGTGTATAAAGAATTACTTTTGTTTTATTTTATTTTACAATGTTTAAGTATGGTTCCTGTGAATTTTCGCAATTAAAACCAATACTCTCTTCATCCTAAACATTTAGAGACCCTTTGGATTCGACAAGTACAGATAAGATAGGATAAAATAAGTATCATGGCCTACGGGGTTGAAAAATAGGGAGTCAAGTTGCATTCATGCATGCTTTATTCATTCCTTCTGCATACACCCTTTATGTGGGATTCATATTGGATAGTTGTGTAATTGTTTTTGTTCCATGTCTTGAACTAAACATTTTCTAGTGTATAGCTTTTGTTTTCAGTATGAATTACTTCATTGGAACCACCACTGATCTATCTCTAGTTGACTAAGAAAGAGAAGAATGTCATGATTTTATAAGAAATGATTTCTTTCAGATTGTGCTAAATTGAATCTTTGAACATTTAGCTGTATGGAAAGGAGGAAACTAGATAGTAAAGTAATATAGTTAATTAGCTAATTATTGTTTGCTCGATGATGTGTTAGGTTTGCATCTTTGCCTCTATGCATGTCTGCAAGCCTTATGAGAGTCATTACATGCCCTTGAAGGAATTTGCTAAGATGAATACATGTGAGAGAGTTTGCTCCAGAATCAGAATTTTCTCCTCCTCTACCATCTTTGTATATCTGCAGGTAAATTTACAAAGAGTCCTTTTCCTTTTCCGGTTTTCCCTCCCTATATAAACTTAGAATAAAATCAGAAGTGTGATTACTTGCTAGTAGGATTCTAAGAACAGCTCATCTCAACCTCACGATAGCCTTTGAAAGCTAGGCTTTGGCAGTGTGCGGAATAAACGATAGGGCAGTTGTCAATGAAATACAATGATAAACAGTGATGAGTTAAACACTGGTCTTTAACTTCTTCTTCGATCTCTCACAGCCATCAATAGGATCGCATAGCATAAAGCCCTTCTTAAACTTGTAATTCACACCTGAAACGTACAATTTAAAAACAATTAGCTAGTTCAAAGTGATATAAATAAAAGTATATGTATTTAAATTAACAGAATTGTATTACCATTGTCATCTATAGATCGAGAGATGTCACGACGCTTGAGATTTACATCTGAATTTTGAACCTTGTATTTTGCATAACGAACCTCGGGCTCCCGGAGACTCTCATAAAGAGCTCTCCAAATATCTGAAAAAGAAAAGATAATATACATGTTAAATTACTACAAAAAATTTCTTTTGGGCCAATCATAACTAAATGTATAACATACTTATACAAGTGTACAAGCAGTGTAATAAAAACAAATTTATAATGGGACTTGTTAAACATCGCCCGCGTTTTTCTACATAAAGCCCACATTTTTTAAAAATTTTGACATTATTGCCCTTGTTTTAATTTTTACCGAAATTGAAAATTTTCACTCACCAAAAATGTGGAGCAGGACTGGATCGCCGAGTGAAACCGAAGAGCCCTCAACGTCGGCTAGATGTACCGGAGAGACGCCGTTGACGCCGGAAAAGGAGGTACGAAGCCATCTAAAACCACGAATTGGCGGCTGGCGTCCTGCCGGGACGCCGTGACCGTAGTGGTGGCGCCTAGCCAGGACGCTGCCTCCGTAGGTATGGCGCCTGGCCAGGACGCCGCCACCGTGGCCGTAGCGTCTGGCCAAGAAGCCGCCACCATGAAAGCGGCGTCCTGGCCAGGCGCCATCGCCACGGTGGCGGCGTCCTGGCTAGACGCCACCGCCACGGTAGCGGCGTCCTGGCTAGGCGCCACTGCATTTTTTTTTTTTTTTTTTTTAATTTAATTTAAAATTTGTTTATTTTTTTTTTTTTTTGTGTTACAATTTTTTTTCGTTTTTTTTTGGTTTTTTTTTGTTTTGTTTTTAATTGTTTTAAAATGTAATGTAAAATTTTGTGTTTGATTTTTGTGTTTTTGATCGCTATGTTTTTTATGTTTATGTTTTTTTTTTGTTTTTTATTTTTTTGGTTTTTTTTTTTATTTAATCTAAAGTTTTGTTTATGTTTTTTATTTTTGTGTTTTGTTTTTTTTTTTTTTTTTTTGAATACTTTTTGTTTATGTTTTTTATTTCTTTGTTTGTTGTTTATATTTTATTATTGTTTTTGCTTTTGTGCTAATGTTGTGTCAAATGTATTAATTTAATCTAATCTTATGTGATTATATTTATATGTTATTGTTGCAGGATTATGGTGGAGACGGAAATGATTATAGTGGGATTTTTGTACACAATGGTCTGTTCGAAGATGCTCAACAAGCGGTTGATTGGGCGAAACATGTTGCAATTAGATCAGGTTTTTGTTTAGTAGTAGCAACTCATAAATCTCAACGGGATGGTAGAATGGATCGCATTTTGAGATGCGACCGTTATCGCAAAAGGGAGGAACGAGATTTCAGTCAAGCGATTCGGTTTGATACAAAGCGGAAAGGTTGTGGGTGTCAGTTCAGAGTAAAGGTTCGACAACAGCAAAGGGGTGACGGTTGGGAAGTGAAGAGTTACGGTAAATGGGGGTATCACAACCATGAGATGATCGCATATGAAGTGGGTCATCGACAGTTAAGTGGCCTAAGTCCTGGTGCGAAACTAATTGTAAAAGAAATGAGTGATGCTCAAGTGAAGCCTGCTAAAATATTAGCATCTGTGTTGGAGAAATTTCCTGAAGACCAGCCAAACCGAAGACACATCTACAACGTCAAACCGAGCTGTTTATCGCCACGTGTACGGACAGGACTTGGATAGGTCTCTGCAGCGTATCCGGTGGGGAGGAGGACGTTGCGGTCAAAATCATTGGTTCGACGCGCCACTTGATCTCTTCGCCGTTGCAAACATCTACAAGTGTGCAGTGATGCATTTCGGCCTTGGTTTGCATGGTGGAGCTTACTATCCATGTACCACGGTTCTGCCTTGGTGTTCGCGTGAGACCGTCACCAGACCGGTAAGAGAGGTTGCTATTGGATTTCTGGGGCCGTCATACAGACATTTCATCCGACTGGACCTGTCACCCGATTTTCCGGTCCCACCGATCATACCAACGTGGTACACCATTCGTACAGCAAGCGTAGAGGGCTGGGATGCGCTATATCATGACCGGGTGCAGCAGTGGAACAATCTAGTTGCCTTTTCTATGTGACCTTCTATTGTTATTGCTATGTTTTTCCCATTTATTTAATTTTCGGATTCTAATTTTCGTATTTAGTTTTCCCATTTAAATGTGAACTTGTATTTAATTTTCGTATGCCCACTAATTACAACTTAAAATAAAAATTATAAAAACTAAAAATATAATGTCAAATTCTAAGAACTTAAAATAATAATTATAAGAATAGATAATGTTAACTTTTACAAACAACTAGGAAAATGTTATATAAATGCACTGCCGACATATCAATAATCTCTTTGTGACGCCCACTGCCACTGCTCAAGGGCCCGTTCCAGTTCATCAATAACAGCTCTGCCTGTTGCAGTCGTCATGTTGTCCCTCTCCTCAAAAAGTCTGTGTCCCAACTGCGTCATCTTTCCCATCCACTACACATAACAAAACACATAAAATTCAATAACGACGTATAATATGAAAAAAAACACAACTACAAATGTTTTATGAGACGTACCGCATCCACGGCAGTGGGCGGTGGCACATCATCATCATCGGCGTCGTCGCCGTGGTGGACGTCTCTGATCAACCTCGGGTGCGAGTGCCGGTTGTACCACTCCATGTAGTGCTGGTCACACATGGCAGCCACCCCAGTTGGCGGCCGCTGCAGCTGCTCAATCCATATGCGGGCAACCATCGGAAACTGCTCCCACGTGCCAATCATGCTTGCCGGCCATTGGACGACGTACTCCTTCGACGACGCAGATCGGACGGCCTTACTGGGCCATGCTGGTGGAGGAGGAACAACTTGGACATATCCAAGCTGGCGAAGACAGCGCTGCGGCATGTACGCCTCTACGATCTCACGATACTGAATCAGTCCCGTGTAGAGGGTCCTGGGTACCCTATTACTAGGGTTCTGGCCGAAAGGCATCCAGTTCACCTGCACATTTTTTAAAATTAGTAAGATTCATACAATAAACACATCAAACTATAAAAGTAGAAATAATTTAAACACTTTACCTCTAATGGGGACATCCTGTCAAGCAATAACCGTATCGATCGCAGGCGGTCAATGGACTTCTTCTCGACACGCGGACTCCACGCACAGGCACGTGGCTGGCCATCCCCAATAGGAACCGGGTCGCGGTGTGGTCGAAACGCCGGGAAATACTCGTATATCCACGTCTGTAACAACGTCATACATCCAGTGATACCTGCCGCATCAACCCGGCTCGAGAATCCTAACTGGCGATACATGTACGCTAATGTAGCCGACCCCCAAGAAAACTGGCCTACTCTGTCGGGCTCACACGCGTCAACTATGTCGCGTGGCCTGAGCTTGTTTCCGCTCTTATCCGGAAACAAGGTACACCCGAGAAGAAGAAAAACATATGCAGCCAGCTGTGTGTCCTGCGTCCTACGTGAAGTGGGGTGCAAACATCGCTGCAAAACTGCTCCGGCCAAGCCTCAGCCCAACTACACAAGAAGTTACAAGTCCTCTCCCGGGTTTGGCATTTCAAAATGCCGCTATCCAAAGCCCGCTCCTGGTCCTCCCAAATACGGGTAGCGATGTGTCCTAGAAAGCTAGGAATCACACTCCCGTCTATAGGTCCCCCGGCCACCTCACCCCTCACCACCCAAGAATCATTAACGGCCCTCGACCGTTTTCTGCTACCCGCAGACACAGTGGACGCAGATGATGTGCCAGATCTACTAACAAACCTACCATCTCGACCCTTACGCACATCTACCCTATGCGTCTCATACGTATCATCAAGCCTCTGACTGAATGGACCGTAATCATCATATGGTCCACTCTGATCGTCGACATCCTCATCTGCATCATCCTCGTCCTCGACCTCCTCCTCCTCCTCCTCCTCCTCATCATCATCATCATCATCTTGATCATCCGCAGAACAGTGCACCCGTTCTCTGCGGGCCGAGGCCGAAATACCACGGGATCTAACGTGTCTGGGCCCCGAGCTCTCCATTGAGTAGATCGTACTCCTCACGACGTCAATACTCTTCCCCACACCAGGTCCAAATTGCGATGCCTAACTCCAAGTAAATAACGAAACATAATAACGAAAACAAATTAAAAAAAAGTCGAAAATAAACACAAAAGACAATAAACAAGTTACAGAAATAAAATTATAAACATAAAAAATATAAATATAAACAAGACAATATACATATAAACATAAGAAATATAAACATAAACATATACCCAAAAACAAAAAATATAACCAAAAACAAAAAATATAAACTACAAACAAAAAAAAAACAAACATAAACAAAAACAAAAAATATTACCAAAAACAAAAAATATAAATACAAAAAAGGACGAAAATAAACACAAAAGCAAATAAACAAGTAACGGAAATAAAATTATAAACATAAAAAATAAAAACATAAACAACACAATATAAATAAAAACATAAAAAATATAAATATAAACATAAAAAAATATAAATATGAACATAAAAAAATATAAATATGAACAAAACAATATACCAAAAACAAAATATATAACCAAAAACAAAAAATATAAACAACAAACTAAAAAATGAAAAACATAAACAAAAACAAAAAATCAAAAATGCAAAGAAAAACCAAAAACAAAAAACTAACAAAACTTAAAAAATTTAAAATTGCAAAAACTTAAAAAAAGAAGAACATCAAAATTTTAAAGAAAATTTATAAAAAAAAAAGGGAACTTATAATTTTTTTACATACAAAAATATAATTCAAAAAAAAAAAAAAAAAACAATACATAGGAACATAAAATTAAAAATTAAAACCAGAAACAATTTTTTTTTTAAAAAAAAAATAGAACATAAAATTAAAACAAATAAAAAAACAAAATTTAAAAAAAAAAAAAGGGAACATACAATTTAAAAAAAAGAAAAACAAATTTTTAAAAAAAAAAAAAAAAAATTTCGAAAATAAAATTTAAAATTAAAAAAAAACAAAAAAAAATTAAAAAAAAAAAAAAGGAGGAGGCGCCTAGGCAAGACGCCTGTACGGTGGTGGCGGCGCCTAGCCCGGACGCCACCACCACGGCCGTGGCGCCTAGCCTATCCGCCGCCGCCGTGGTAGTGGCGTCTGGGCTAGGCGCCGCCTCCACCGTACGGGCGTCCTGCCTAGGCGCCTCCTCCGTGGTGGTGGCGTCTGGCCTTGGCGCCCCACCGTCGCCGGAGGTTTTTTTTTTTTTAAAAAATTACAAAAATTACCTTCTCGCCGGCAAACCGCCTTCCGCCCACTGCCGGAGCCGCCACTTCCTTGCCGGGCCGCCTCGACATAGCTCGGGAAATAATTTAGAGAGAGAAAGTGGAAGTAGAGAGTAGAGAGAGAAATTGTGTTTTTTAGTTTGAGGGCAAAAGTGTCATTTCACTCTTATTTTGTGGGCTTTATGTAGGAATTTGCGGGCGATGTTTAACAGTTCACTTTATAATATGAGAATCAATATTTTGATAGGAAATACATTAGATTACTATTACCTAGCTAAGCCTCGATTAAATAAATAAAAATCAAATACTTCATTTATTCCAAAATACATTATTGGACTTGTACCAATGACCCCTGGATAGTCCGCCTTATGTTTCATTTGTCATTGTCACTTTCTCGCTTCCACTCAAATTTATGTTCTCCATCTACCAAACTTTGTCCTACCACTAAAAATCTTATATTTGTAAAAATTAAAAAACAAATAATAATAATAATAATAATAATAATAATAATAATGAGTTTCATAAAAAATTACGAAGCATGAGTATAAAAATAAGTACACTCTACCTAAAACAGAAATCTGGTGCAACGCCTGGGGTATATACTAGTATATACATAAAAGCAAATTATATCAAAATCAACAAATTACGTGAAACTTACGACAAATTAAAAAATTACGTGAAACTTAAGATACATTAACAAATCACGTTACTTTATTGATTGTAATATAATTTGTTTTTATGTGATTAATAATATTTACAACTTATTTTGACCACTTGTTAAATAAGTCTCTCAAGTCACCCCACTCTAAATTCTCATTAGAGTTAAATGATCAACAAATCAACTTCGAAACAACAGTTATTCGCGCTCCTTCACAAAGATGGTGAGACACAGAATGGAATGAGATTTTCAGCAGGTTTAGAGATTGAGTACTTCCATACTTCAGATTACACAGGGCAGTCAATAAAACTTCCCTACCAACCCAATCATGGAAAGGTATATCTCTTTCCTTGTTTAGTGTTAAATATTTTGTACTAATTAGTAATTTTATTAGCACTAAATAATTGTCGTTATATTGGGAATACAAATCTTATAATTTTAAATTGGGATTGATAGATTATGATAATAACCTATTCATATATGTAGATAATAATGTCTATTATTTTGTGTATATCTTTAGTTAGTTTAACCTTGAGAGACTTGTTTAACAAGTGGTATATACATAAAAACAAATATCCAGGGCAACGCCCGAGGTATATACTAGTATATACATAAAAGCAAATTATATCAAAATTAACAAATTACGTGAAACTTACAAATTAACAAATTACGTGAAACTTAAGATAAATTAACAAATTACATTACTTTATTGATTGTAATATAATTTGTTTATATGTGATTAATAATATCTACAATCCATTTTGACCACTTGTTAAACAAGTCTCTCAAGTCACCCCACTTTAAACATTAAAGCATGAAAACTCTTGCTGGATCACTTGTGCGGATTATGGGATCTAGCAATGCTTCATTTGATGTTTCATATGATCAAGTAGAAAACAATGATGATAAATTGTCAACTTTAGTGGATTCGTTAGGTAAAGCTGTTTTGCTCACTGCTCTCTACTATTTGAAGTTTGGAACAACTCTCGATGAATGTAAAGTTGCATTTTCCTCTATTTTTCATCATGTATGCGAAAGTGCACGTTTGACTGCTGTAGCAGATTTAGTCCGTCGGGCATTCAACACTAATAAGGATTTGAAATTGAGAATTTAAAAGTTTTGTTTCACAAATGGTCTAAGTTGTCCAAAATTCACCTAAACAACTGTTTAGGTAATCTGAAACAAGTAAAGAGTGTTATGAAAAACAAGGATTATAAAAATCTTGGGATAATAAGTTATTAGAGTGTTGAATTTATTGTTTTAGAGGAAAACTCTTTGTCCCACTGCATATTGGTGGGATAAGGAAGCTTTACTTGTTTTATATACTAAAAAATATTTAAATGATAAACGCTTAAAATAAAGTTTGATACCTATCATTATAAGATAAATTTTGATAGTATTTGTGATAAGAAATACAAATTGTATGTTAATTATAATTAAAATTAAAATTTGTGATACCTACCATTATAAATTGACACATCATACGACACAAACAAAATTTCGTATCAATAAAAACCCCATCATATCAAGCGAATTTTGTGTTAGTAATTTTGTGTTAATTTTTGGTCATCAATGGCCGGGTAATTTTTAGCTTAATTTTTAAAATCCTATGTTTAAATTAGTATTTCTAATTATTACTTACATTGTATGAATTTGGGATACTCAACGATTATATGTTTATGTTTTATTTACTAAATGTTTTTATACATGCAGATCTAACACATCATACGACACAAATAAAATTTTGTATCAACACAAAACCCCATCAAGCAAATTTTTGTGTTAGTTTTACGTCATCAATGTCCGGGTAATTTTTAAAACCTTATGTTTAAATTTATATTTGTAATTATTAATTACATTGTATTTATTTAGGATACTTAACGATTATTTGTTTATGTAATGTCATACGGTTAGATGTTGTATACTTAATATATAGATGTCTTTGGTTATTTTTGGAGATGATGAAAAAATTCCAATGCATAGATTTGATTTTATATCGCAACAATTTTTCATTTTTTGGTAAATATATTGATTTATTTTATATAAATGTAAAGATTTAATTTATATCAATTTTAGTTTGGCTAACATTTCACGGTTCAATTTATCCATTGATGTAGTAGGTTGGTTGTGGACGAGGTTGGTGATTCTATTGAAATAAAAGATATGGTAAAACAATGAATAATGATTAAAGATTTAAATTATTAAAAATTTATCATGTCACATTAAAGTTTTTATATAATGGAAAAAATATCATATTTACAATTTATTTATATTTAATAAATTCATTATAAATTATAGTAAAAAAAAAATATTAAAATTTTGTAATTTTGTCTGAAATTATTAAATACAATAAATCAAATAATTAAATATCTTAGATGAAAAAACCGTGCATCGCACGGGCTTCCATCAATATACCTGGATCTCCTTCTCCACTGTCCATTAGCAATTTTAACCTTTCTTCCCGAGCTTCTTTCAATTTGTTCCAAGTTAGCCTATGAACATCGTACCAACATGGCTCTCTCTTCCCAATTTGGTATACACAACCTTCTTATAATACTTCAA